TCCTCCTGCTTTCTTCAGAGCAGCTACTGCAAAATGGTTGTTATGGAAGTATTTTGCAATTTTAACATCAGCCTTTATTTCTGGAGCACTAAAGTTTTTGGCTAAGAAGTGCATCAAATGAACACTGCAGCCATATGTTACTAGCTTGGAGCTTTCTTCTAGATTTCTTCTTATCCTTGATGCATTTGCAGCATTGTCTGTGACAGCTGTGTACTAGGCATTTGAATTTTTTTCACAGTTTGTTATAGCTTTTACTGCTGCTACTTCTAAGTGTTCTGCTGTGTGCGCATTTGCTGATGTATCAATTGTTTCTGTAAGGTAGACAGTCCCTTCTGTTGTCATGCAAGCACATATATTACTGGAACATTATGGACTTTGCTTCGCCCATCAAAACTAAGGTTAACAATTTTCCACTCTAGACTTTTTGCACAGTGTTCACTTTCTTTCTCATACACTTTATCCAGCAATTTGCCTAGCATATCTGCTCTGTTGGGTGGACTGTATCCTGGTCAAAATAACTGAACCATGTCAATGAAGCGTGTGTTCTCAACCATATGGAAAGGAGGGTTTGTTGCATGAACACACTGAACAATGTTTTCATCACTTACCTCTTGCTATAATCTGCTGGTTCTTATTACAGACTTATCTATTGTTGTTTCTGGATGATGGAGATTTTTTTTCTTTTTGCTACAGGTGATATACTATGTGACATAGATTTGACTGGAACCACTGGTATCATTAGCAGATAACTCTGAAACTGTAGACAGTGATAATGATGTTGAAGATGGATATTCAGAATCCTGTATGTTGAGGATGGATCCTCCTGAACAAAAAAAGTCAGCGAGGTCTCTACAGTACTGCTCACTTAGTACCGAGTGCAATTTCTACTTTAGAAATTAAACTGTACAAGGAAGATCTGCCTGTTTCTGCCATTATTTTGTATTGCAACTGCATTAAAAATATGGTAGTTCCATAAAGTAACCAACTATATTTTTGCTCAAACATTTTTATTCAAGTAGTCCCGAAGTCCACCCAAAAGATACGGACAGGGAAGACAGGCAGTCCTTAAAGTATGGAATAAGAAAGTTTACCAGCCTGGAGATCCTGTGTGTTCAGGCATGTTTCATTCATCATCTTCAAAGCAGCTTCCTCCTGAGAAGGAGCGCTTTTCATGATGTTGTTTCATTTGGGCAACCAGGTTTTGCATTTCCTTATTGCACTGTTTTGTATTTTGCACGCATGCCTGTCTTACCCACAGGTAGAGGAACTTCATTAAAATATTCACAAACAGGGTCTCTTTTATGGCCTGCTGCCATGGTAGGTTTTCCCTTCTACCATACCATTCCCTCACTAGATCTCAAATCAGTGGAGAGGGTATATTTGGAAACTTATCCCTCGAGACTTCTGGAATATTCTGCTCAAAATGTTTCTTTTGTTTCTACTGCCCCTCCTTTCTTTCATTTATCTCCAGATTCCTCCTCCTTGCCCGAATCTACTCCACTGCCAACATTTAACTTCATTAAATATTAATTTAACTTCTTGAAACTTTGCACTTTTACAGAGAGGTAGGGGCTTGACTTTGTGTACACTAACTTGCAGATAGACAAATAGGGCTGATGGGTAGGTAATCAGGTCTGTTATCTCTCATCTCCATACACTGCTGTGCAGAAGGATGTTATCTCTGGAGACACAAATCCGCAGTTTGAGAAGTGAAACTAAGCTTCACGGAGATGCTTAATGGGATCGTCTAGACTGAGCACTGAATCCCATTGGGTAGAGTGCTTTTCTTTAATCTTTACTCATCTATAGAGGAGCATGGGATTGTTCCATCCTACGTGCAGGACTTTACACTTTGTCTTCATTAGATTTGCTTTCAGTTCAGTCCAGTTCAGTCCTCCAATTTCTCTAGATCTTTCTGAATCCTAGCCCTACTCCCTCTGCCCCTCCCCACCCCTGCAGCTTGGTGTCATCTGCAAACTTGCTTAGGGTGCACTCCATCCCATCTTCCAGGTTGCTGATGAAGATATTGAACAAAACTGGCCCCATGACTGACCCCTGGGACATTCCACTTGAGACTGGCTGCCAACAAGACATTGAGCCATTGATTAGTACCCTCTGAGCCTGACAATCTGGCCAGTCTTCTGTTTGCCTTACAGTCGATTCATGCAACCTGTACTTCCTTAGCTTGCTGGCAAGCATGCTGTGGGAGACAATATCAAAAGCCATGCTAAAGCAAAGTATATCATGTGCATTGCTCTCCCCACATCCACAGAGCCAGACATCTCGTTATAGAAGACAGTCAGGTTGGTCAGGCATGACTTGCCCTTGGTGACTCCATGCTTACTGTTTCTAATAACCAGGGATCCTAGTTTTTCATTTGCCACAGAAAAACAGCAGGGGGGAGGGAGGTGCACTGCTGATTGGCCAAGTAGCTAAAACTGTGGCAAAAATAAGAGCTTACTATGTGACACCCCCACAGTTTTTGAGTTAGTATTGAGGAACTTGGATAAACCTAATTTGATTTGCTTTCAGTAGTCTGCATCACCTGCAAATATGCAGGTCCTCTGATATTTCAGTTATTATTTTTTCAGTGGCAAATGATGCATTAATTATAATACACACATTCAAAGTTTGGTCCTGGTTCTTCTAAAGACTAGTGTAAATGTGTATTCTTGGACTACTCCCTAAACATGTTTTCTTTTGTGCTTTTGTTCAGCTTTAACATAATCCTGATTTCTACCAGGATTGTAAGCAAACTGTTAAGACTTAGAAAAGACACGTTAAAGGAAATACGTGAAATATTTCACTTGGCAAAGTCTAACACCCTGGTATATGAAGGGGGTAGGAAGCCAAACTGGGTGGATCTCTATTGATTTAAGTGGTATTGTACCTGCTTATTTATCCTTGCACTGATTTATGGCCCAAGTGCTTACATTTTAGCATTGTATTATAGTAATTGAATATAAAAGCTATTTTAACTGATGTTGTAAGTTGTGACAGCTCACATGGTAGAGTGTTGACCTATATAAACTTAAGTAGGTGGGCTGGATTCTGCATGCTGTTGTGTTTTGGACTGGCACCAGAGAGTTGAGTCATCTAACAGGTATGTCCAAGTGGAAAAAAGTATTCTAAAAAAGCCTATTCATGATGTTTCTCTGTGATTAGAGCATCCACACTAGAAGTTAATATTCCCAACTTTTTCAGAATCATTGTTTGCTAAATGTAGATAATGGCTTCAGGTATAACTAGAAAAAAACAATCAGTAGGAAAGATATTACTTCTCAGTTAGTGAATAAATACATTGCCATCCTTGTTCAAGCAATGATCTGACTGACAGAGGTGGCAGCTTTGGAACTCAAGACAACAGGCTGAAACATGGGCTTGGAATATATTTTCTTGGTACAGCTTCTGGCATTTCTTGCAGCCAAATAAAGGAGTTCTGTCAGTGGGTTGTCATTTGCTGAAATTTAATTGTTTTGCTCGAGTTCTTTCTGACTTCATTATTATGCAAATCGTGCCATTGTTAAAGTAATTCCTGGGCTCAGGAAATTTAGGTTTTGTCTATCTGGTGGTGAGTCAGCTGGAATTGCACTAATTTGCAGCAGAGGGGTATATTATATTGAAGGCAATAAGTATTGACCCTAGTCAAAAGCAGACTTTACTGAACTAACTTGAAAGAATTGAGACTAGATTTGAAGTGGTTTTTGTTTTTTCTATTTTACATAGGTATTTAAAGTGTTAGAAAGGCTTTAGGAAGTCATGTTAAAGGTTTTCCCTTTACCTGTTTTGGTACTGTGTAAAGGCTAAGTGGTTATCTAATGATGTCCTGAAAATATGTAGATCTGTATCCTTGGAGAGAGAATGCAGAGATTTCCATAGTCCCCAGGTTAAAGGAGATCAGATTCCTCAAAATTGCATTTATTTTTGATGCACTTAATTTGGTTGCACTGTTTAATTTTATTGAGAATTTTGGGCCATTTTTGGTTTGCTTTTGCTGTAGAGATGCCTTATGCACTGCTTCTAATAATTCAAATAAGCTGTTCAAGACTGCACGTTAGAGAATGAATCATGAACCAACATAGTTGTCTCACATGTATAAAAGTAATCCAAAATAAATGGTTTAATGATAATTCCCATTTTATTTTTTCCTAATTTAAGGATTACACTTTCACTTCTAATCTATGTTCAGAAGTAAACTTGCACATGATCTCAAGTTGTGGTAGCAGCTTTATAGAAAAGATAGGCCCGGCTTCTGAATTTAAGACTTTAGTGCAACATCCTTTTCAACAGATCTGACGTGCTCCCATGGATGTCTGCATTTGCTCCAGTGGAAGCCCATTTCATACTGTGTTGACTTAATCTAAGTTGCCAGCATGGTTAATGATGGGAAGGAATAAAAAATATAATGTCTCATTCATGAGGTCACTTATTTAACCATATTTTGGAATCTTTAGTTCACTATTGCAGCCCTATACCCTTTACAGAATAAGCATGGAGCAACATGAACAGAAAAGATTCCTGAGCTGCAGAAGAACTGTTCTTCTATTTTATTTACTATGCTGAAATCTAGTTTACCCTTAGTCTTGCTGTCACCAGGGGCAAATCTGGTGTGCAAATTACATTAGATAATAAAGAATTACAGACTTGTTGCTTTTGTATCATAAAAGTCTTAAACTAGATTTTCTTCTTGGTAGCTGGAGCATTTTTTCCTCAAGTTATTACTATTTTATTTATATTTGATTTGGTAGAGTGGACTCTGTGGCCTCGGAGGCCCCATCCAGTCCTGTTTTCGTGATCCCACCTTACTACCGAAATGCTGTGTAATGCTGTGTAATGTATCCCTGATACATCATTGACTCAAGTGTTATTACTGCTCTTGTGCTTTGCTTTAAAGCTCAATTATCTTTTCACGATCTCCTACCCAGAGGTTGTTCCATAGTTTGCCATGAAGAGACTGACATTTTGAATGTCTTTTTTTTTTTTTCCCCACCCATCCCTAGAGCAAGGCCTAGATCACATAGCAGAAAATATCCTTTCCTACCTTGATGCTAGATCACTCTGTGCAGCAGAGCTGGTGTGTAAGGAATGGCAGAGAGTGATCTCAGAGGGAATGCTGTGGAAGAAATTAATTGAAAGAATGGTACGCACTGACCCGTTATGGAAAGGGCTCTCAGAAAGAAGGGGTTGGTAAGTACCTCTGTGTACCAATTTATGCACTTCCTTCCTTTATAGGATTATCCATAACAAGTCTCCCTATATTTTCCCAGAAAAGTGCATTTACAGTTCCTCAGTATCATCAGTTTCCTTGGATTCCCCATGGCATTGTTTTATGGGTATTTTATTTAAAAATCTGTACCTGTTTAATCATAGAAAGAAGGACCTGAAGGGACCTGTAAGATTATCAAGTCTGGTCCCCTGCCATGGGCAAGAGGTAATTGGGCTCAAATTAGCTCAATGCAATGCTTGTCCAGCCTCCTCTTGAACACTGCCAGGGATTGGCGACTGCACCACCTCTGCTGGAAGTGTTACAGATTCTAGTTACCTGTACGGAAAAGAAGTTTGTCGTTATGTCTAGCCAAAACTTCCTCGATTAGCTTGTGCCTGTTGGTCCTCATCTTCATTCCTCTCTCTCTCGGTCATCATACTGGTTTTTCTTCTGGTTCCTATTCCTTTTCTACTTTTGGCTTTTTGTTGCATCTTCATTTACAAAGTAATTTTTGCATATTATTTCTGTCGGTTGTAATGGGCAATGTGGATTAATATGAACCACTCAGTATGCTTGTTAAGTTCTTTCCCAAGTGAAATATTGCCACTTAAACTTTTTAAACTTAAACTATAAAATGGCTGATTAGATTTCAGAAACCTGTTTCTCTTTCATAGCAATTCTAGATTTGGAAAAACTGGTTTTTAACATGTATGAACAGTTGCTGTAGGTTCTCTGGTGGCATGTCTAAAATCACAAGACCTATAAAAGGTGGAAAAATGCTATTATATCCGGCTTGCTATATTGCTGCAAGTCAGGCAGAAGGCAAGGTAGATTTAGACCTTAAGCTAACGAAATCCGAGAGAGAGCATAAGCTTTTGTGCTATGTCTTCTGCCTGACTTCAGACTAAAGCAGCAAGGTCCACTTTCAGGGAACACAAGGACAGAAATGAGTTTTCTTCCACTATTCAGACATTTAAATACAGCTGTCAGTATCTAAAGAGTTACAAACTTGGATGTCTCATACAGAGTACATTATTTTAATGTAAATAATTGACCGTATTACCTTTGAATGCTTGCTGTAGCTTAATGCAGAGTTAAGTCCCTGCAAGATGGAACTGTGTTTTGTATTAACATGTTAACCTGCGAAATATAACTCTCTTGTTTTGTTTTTTTTAAGGGATCAGTACCTGTTTAAAAACAGACCAACAGATGGCCCCCCAAATTCATTTTACAGATCATTATACCCAAAGATAATACAGGATATAGAGGTATGTTTTCTGATGGAATTTCTGCAGTGCAATTAATTAGTTTTCAACTTACTACATATTCAAAATTTAATTTTAGAAGTCTAACATTTCTTATCAATATGTTTTAAAATATGATGCATTTTAACTTGTTAGATTACAGTACTACTATTTTAGTGCTAAAATAACATAAAGCTATTCTGTTAACTTCATTATTAGTAGCATATTTCTTTGAAAGATTTTTGAATTCATCTGACATGAACAATGGTGTTTTAGCAGTATTATAGTAGTTAATGGTCTCCTGAACCCCTTAAAATCCAATATATAATAGAAAATTTGGTTATATATAAATATGTGCTTATGGTAAGTTTTTGAAAGGCTTCAGGTTTAAAAGCATTTAAATACTGTTTGATATAATGTCATTTTTCAACTTTATAAATATAGCTTTCATTGCAAGGAGCACAGGATTTTTTCTTGAATGGCTGATGACAAGAAAAGCTATAAAGTAATTATAGATATACCAGTGGTTCTTACAACAAAAGATACTGCAGAAGTGGTTTATCTTTGTTTATGTAGCTGAAAAAACCCTTCCAAGTCAGGTTTCATTTTACTATTTAACATGTTTCTGACAGATCAGGGTCCTCATGGTATTTTGCCTACTGACTGAAAAACCTTGTCTTATTCAGTTAGCTCTGTATCCATCATAATATTGTGTAAGTTTATAACAAAAATTGTAATGTATTTATTTCATCCGGGTCCAAAATTCATTAGTGGAGAAAATACACGTCTGTAGGTTAAGGCAGATATGAACTAGTGGAATCATTCTGTTACAGCAAATGGGAGTTTGTGTGACTGGCACTCCAAGAACAAAATTATTCAAAACTCTAATCTGTCTGTGAAATGCAACTATTTGCAGAAATCAACTCCAATCCCCATTTCAGATATCTTCTGTAAACCTCTACTGCACATTTATAAGCTTTTTAAAGCACAGATCTGAACATGAAACTCAGCTTATACAAAATAAGACCAACAGTGCTATTTGCATGTGTAGGCTGTGTACCATATATGCACCTTTTAAGTATCTTCATTTTAAAGGTGCTTGTCTTGGACTTTTCATTTCTATATTTGAATTCTGTCAGCATTGTTGCTTTCCTGAAATCAAGATAAAAGATTTATCTCTAGTATGGCCTTAACCTTTCTTGCAATGACAAGGCAGTAGGTATTTGTCCTTCACTTCCGTCTTCATTTTTGTGGGAAGCCCTCTGCAATACCAGAGGCTACACACGTTCCCAGAGAAATCCCATTGCACACTTACATTGACATAGTTCCTGATCCTGAATTTGCTACCAGTTGTGTATATGATTCTTTAGCTTCGGTCATAAGATTTGGAGTCACGGATGGATTCTTAACTGGAGGAAGTGAGGACAGATCTTACAGAGTAGTCTAAGCAGGGAAGCATTCTGATATTGGCTGGGGTATAAGGAGCTGCAGTGACAGGCTGCATCTGAAGGTGAGCTGTTCTTTGTAAACAGCCATTTTAAGAAGGAAGGAATGGGTTTCACAAAAAAGTGATCACTATCTCTAATAGAAGGAAACTTGAAAAAACAATTTATCCGATCGCATTGCTGGAGCCACCAAAGTAAGGACAGAACGTTTCCTAATAATATTCTTTGCTTTCTGCAGTTGTCAGTCTCTAAGTTTAAAGAATGTTTTTCATGATAGCAGAAATGTTCTGAGTGCCCCCCACAGAAACTGCTGCAAGGACATTCAATGCCTTGATCCTGGCAACCTCGTTCTTTTTAATATGCATCCTTTGTACATCTTATTAACTTTGTTGAGCTGAGTTAGAAACAAACAATTTTGAAACAGAATTGCCTGACTGACAGTTAATTTGTGACCATTTAAAGTCCCTTCCCACAAAAAGTAAAGAAACCAGGACATGAGTGATTAAAATGCAAACAAAAAAACACCCCTGTTTTTTAAGTGATCTTAAAAGTGAGGTACCACTGAAATTCAGCTCCTGTGGAAATGTTTGCTTGTAAACATATACATTTCCCAGAAAATTAAACTTTACTAAATTTTAAATTCATATCAATATCTTTAAACCAACTTTGAGAGACCCACTTACATGTAACAAACAAAAAACCCAAGCATTAATTTGCTTGGAAATTGAGAGTTCACATACACACATCCATGCGCATACATACCTGGTGCTTGGAAGTCTTGAAATGCAAAGTGAAATAACTTTCTAAACTGTAATAAGTGTTTCCATAATTCCCATTCAAAATACAGCTTATTCTAAATTTGGATGTTTTATTACATGCAGCGTGAATCCTGTGGTATCTCCCTATTGTACAGAGATCTGACCTTCAAGATTTCTTTCAGAATAGGGATAATCAAGGGTAATCAGGAATGTTTTGGGGATGTGTTCATATAATTGATGAGCTATTTTTTAGCTATGCTAAAAGCATAGCTGGCTTTTCAAGGAGGAATGAAATGGAGGAAATCTTGCTTTATAAGCAGCATTTCTGTTGCTGATATCTAGTATTAATATTTACATGCCAAGTAGGGAATATTATTTGACCATATAGAAGTTAAAAAAGGTTCCTTCATAAACTCAAGGAAGGGGGAATGAAGGTGGTTTTGGAAGAACATTCTACATTTCCATTTTTTTTATCCTTTGGCCATAGTCTCTATATCTGTATTAAAAAAAGCACGCGCACCATACCTTTTGATCTCTATCCTTTACTGGGAGTTAGTCATGTTAAGTAAAATTCAAGGAGCAACCTGTGAATCACAAAGTTCTGCCTGACCTGTAAGGCTGGATACATCACACTTTCCTCCTCTGATTAATGTGGCATCTATGTTTATAAAGGTACTACTATAAGCTGTTGCCCCTGGTATGCTCCTTGTCTTAAACCTCAGACTGCTTTACAACAGAGATGTCATCTCCCCAAAGACTGCACAAAAATGTTTTGTTTCCTGAATTTGGGCAAACTGGTGCCTCCAGAACTATTAGCTGAATTATCAAAGTGTTCTTAGTATTGGTCTCTTGAAGTTGCTAATTTGTTAGGATAGAAACTGTTGATTGAAAGATTTGTGCAATTTAGAACTTGTAAATTAAATTATATTTTAAGATACAGTTTATAAAGGACTTTTCTGAAAAGCTCTCAAAATAAGTGTTTTAATTCCTCAATCTAGAAAGGAAGCAGCACTAAAAGCTGACAGCAGCACTTGAAATGCTTTTTTTTTTCTTTAGTAGGTTTTGCTGTTTAAAAAAAAAAAAAAAAGTTAGGGTCATAGGATTGGTACAGTCTTTAATTTAATCCTTTCTATTAAAAATGTATTTTCACAATGTTACATCACAGGCTGCTGTGGTGGCCGACCGGCTGCCGGGCCCTGGCCAGTAGCCCGGAACGTTAGGCGGGTACTTTTGACCGATGGAGCTGAATTAGGCACAGATGCGTATTGGTAACAAATAGATTGTTTACTTACGCCACTGATGTATGGGCGCAGGCAGAGTTGACTGGTTTAATTGCAGTTACAAACGAGTTACAAAGACTCTCTTAAAAGCGCGAGAGAAACGACGAAGTTTTCGTAATCGGCTTACTGCGGTACCGGGGTCGGGGTACGTCGGAGAGTTCGGTGACGGGGAGTCGCTGGTGGGTGATCAGTCCGCCAGGTTTCTCCGAGAAATGCACGGAGTTCTCCAACGTGGGCTCCGAGGTGTATGCGGAGTTCTCCAACGTGGGCGGAAACTGCTTTAACTTTTATATGGCTAACAAGCCAATCGCTAGTCGCCAAATATGAATAATTTATAACCGGCCAATGGTGGTGTGCGTGTTTGCATAAAGTTGGCGGGAACTTTTTCTAAACTGTAATTTTCCATTACAGTGGCATATAGTTATTGGGTTCTGACATAGCGGAATTTTCCACCGTGACCTAGTTACTGCCACCAGCGGAATTTTCCACTGTGCCATAACATTCAGAATGATTGACAGCAGAATGATTGACAGCGGGATGTTCCACTGTGGCGGGAGATTCCACTGTGCCATAGGCATCCAGCTACTAATGGGTTCTGACAGCTACCAAAATCAGGAACCATTAAGGGACTATTTGAACTTTGTTGTATTATGTGCTGCTTTTTGTTGCTGATTTGTAAAATGAGTGGAGTTTCTTTTAATTCAGATCTTGACTTAGACCTGTGGTTTTCAAACTTACCGAAGTCAAGGAACCCTTTCGTATCACTTCTTCAGTTATGGACCTTCTGCCCCTATTCTAAAGACAGACACAGAGCCAGGTGACCCAGCCTGGCCACGGCAGTGCACCCCAGTCTCTTTGCAGAACCTGTGACGACCCATTGTGGAACCCCAGGGTTCTGTAGAACAGAGTTTGAAAACCATTGATCTACACCTATCTAGAACTTCAATGTGGCCTCTGTCAATTTTGGGAACGCTTCTCTACAATCCCCCGTCCCCCCCAGGACCTCTGAATTTAGTACCCACCTTTTAGGGCAAAATGTTTTCTTGGTTTCCATCTTATTAGCCAAAAAAGGGGGAAGGGGACATTTTACAAAATACATTTTACAATAAAATATGAATATTGTAATAAAATACTGAATGAGGTTTTCAGTATATGAAGAACAAACTAAATCCTATTAAACTATTCTTAACCATAAAGGAAGTTTCATTAATTTATCACATCTGATACTAAATTGGGTCATAAGTATAGGGATAAGCACAAAGAAAGATAGTCTGTCTTGACTGGATTGATTGACGTAGTTTGAGTGTAGTCCAAAAACCAACCCAACATTTGGGATCAAAATGAGGTATAGTAAATAACTAATTCTTCCTCTTGGGTTCTATTAGCATTTGAGGTCAAAAGTTCATACAACCTCTAAGTGATATTAGCTTCAAGGTAACACAGACTGATCTGGCAATTTTGACGTTCTTTTAACTCTGAAAATGTATCAGTGCCAGTATCTGTATATTCCCTGCCAAGCACATTTCAAGGACATAATGTCA